AATAAAACAGGACTGATTCACTCCATGGGAACAGTAAAATACCATACTTGAGTGTTAACTTTATGTATTAAAAATATTGACAACTGAAAACTGATTAAGACATTAATTTCTCTTTTGCATCTGCTAGAAGGCAAAAATAAGAACAAATTTGAGAACCCTGGGGGCTTTGGCCCCTGTATGTTAGTGTTCCGAAATAGGTCTGCTTATTTCCTCACCTCCCAGGCCTGAAGCGGGGCACCTTGAAGACTAACCTCCTCTTTCTGGCTTAGAGAAGCCCTTCACTGCCTTTAGTGTCTACCTAAACGTTACCTTAAAATGTACCTTCTAGAAACAGTTTACAAAAGATAGTGTCTCACCTGTTCTTACTCCTCGCTTCATAACCTGCTATAACCCTGTTTTACGTTCTTCATGGCAGTTACCACCAGCTGACGTCTTCAACAGTGTGCCTCTACTTTCTAAAATTATCTATCTCCTTCCGCCAAAACAGGATCCTCGGTCCCTGTTGTCAGTGCTTATCCCCAGGACTGATGTGGAAAAGGTACTCAATAAGTATTCTTGGAATTAATGAAATAAATATAATATTCTCACCAAAATGCCTACAGGGGCCAGAAGTGAAGTCATAGATTATGGTAGGAACCTCCCCAAATCAGGGGAAACACCCCCCAGCCAATTTGGCGTGAGCATCCAGCACTGTCAATATTCTGATTTTTCTAGAGAAGCCAGATATCTGCATTTATCCATGAAACTCCCTGTTTTGTAAAACACAGGGAGCAAAACAATAAAACAGGGCCCGGGGCAGTTATTTGGTTGGCAGTCTACCAATTAGTGAGTGACCTTCGGCCTAAATGCTCTGAGAAGACTATGATGTTGGGGGCTCTCCAGGAGGAGAGAAGTCAGTAGCGTTTTTTTGCATTGGGAGGGGGGGCGGGGGCGAGGCGGGGCGGGGAGGAGGAGGCTGCAAAGCAAGTGAAGAGGCGCAGCACTCACATGCACTAAGGAGAAGGTGCAGCCTGATGCTCCCCATCATAGATACTGGGGCTTGGCACTCTATCTCAGCACCTGGAGGGAAGGGGACTCTCATTAGGGACTCCATGCTGAGGACAACTCCTACGCTGAATCGTAATACATACACGGCAGCCTGGGTGAAGAGAACAGCAAAGACAAAGAATGGAAGACCTGAAATCTCCCCGAATGTTCTACTCTGCGCTGAATTTCTCAAGCCTTACCTGGGAAGAGGGGTTGGAAGCCCCAATACTCACTGAGAAAGAATTCTTTCCCAATCCGGGGAGGGCGGGTGGGGAATGAGGAACCGCCATCAAAGTTCTCTGAAAGAAAATGCTACTTCTTCTCTGCCTGAGGCTGTGGCTGATAGCACCCATAGTTGCTACACGTCCTCGGTCAGTCTTGTGAAAACAAGAACTGCCAAAATGAAAGATGTTGCATTTGACTTATGCCATCACTTACGTTTTTAAAAGGCACCTATTAGATGTCAGTCTTTACAAGGAGAAGCAACCCCAGTGAGCTGCAAATGGGACAGTTTAAAGAACTAAAGCGAATATTCATTGCTGGGGTAAGGTACACACAGCCCTCACCTGCTTGAGAGACATGGTCTCCCCCGTGTCCACCCGTCCCTCTCACATCTGAACAAGTTCCTCCCCCCGTCACAGTGATGACATCAGGCCATGGAAGCCTTAGCCAAGGAGCTCCTCTGGCTGTCAGGATTGGTTCAGACATCATCTGTCTTAGCCTGGGTTCCCCAGAAACAGAACCCGAGGCAAAGGCCCATGTGCAAGGACTTTGTTCAGAAATGCACACCTCAGGGAACAGGAGCAAGTGGCAGGAAATGGAGGGGAGAGAGCCAATAGGAGAGTTCGTTCTCAAGGTAGCCGCCACCTGATATGAAGTGCTTTGGGTCGCTTGATCTCCATCTTCCAAGAGGCCATCTGAACAACTATGACTCAGGAACATCTGCTAGAGGAAGGAAGGATTTATCTGCTAGCCTCTCTCTCTCTCACTGGTGAAAGTTTTGACCTACTGGGGTGTTCTCTCCCCTACACATCCATGCCATCTGTATATGTGTTCACGGAGTCAAAGAATCTCGTGCCTCAAGAGCAACAGGGAAAAAGCAAGGGCAGCGGAAGGCCAAAGGCACTGCTGGTTGTGCCCACATGGACATGGCCAGAGCCCACGCAGAGGCAGTTGCCGCTGCTGAGGCTGGAGGCAAGGTCCAGAGCAACCTGCCCAGGGGCACCCATGAGGCCAGCCCGTGGGCAACCACCTGAATAGTGAATCTGGGTTTTTTCTCTGGGTGTGAGGGAAGAGGAGGAAGACTCAAACTCTAATCATGTGTGTATGGAAAGGAGCATGAAAGATCAACATGGGCAAAGGCTGGAGGGACACACAAAACACAGAAGAGAATATCATTCCGACCCTAAGTGTCAGTATAATTATTAGACAGGAAAAAGTTCAAAATTATGTCCTCCCTTCCATATACACATAATTGTATCTGTTAATACTACATTTTATTTGTTGATAATCCAGCCTTACAATGACACCTTTGTGGTTCCCCACACCGGCCCATGGTAAAGAACTAAAAAGAGAAAGTTCTCCTTCAAACCATCTTTCTATCTGAATCAGCAGTAAATGAAAGTGTTCAACACACTTGCATGGTATAGTTCATGATAAAGCCTTGTGCATGGAAAACTATTTTTCCAGACAACATGAGGCTGGCTCTGCCACCAGCAAGCTTGTGATGGGGGCGACTTCTCTGAGCCTCAGATATTCTCTCTCAAAAGAGCAGAGAGGTTATCTGCTGAGGCCCCTTCCACATCTAGCACTGTTTTACCCTATTTCAGGAACAATCTGCAAAGTGTTAAGTGTATAAGTTATACATAAGTTAGAGAGCAACTTATTTGCTTTACTCTTAGGACTCTTCATTTCTCAAAGGATTCATAATTAAATTCTTTACAAAGCAATTTACCTTAGTTTACCCCCAACATTTCAGCAACATGGGTGTTAAAAGAGTCCTACAGCCTGTCCTGGTCTGTTTGGGCGCTGTAACTAAATACCACAGACTGGGTAGCTTATAAACAACAGATTCTCACAGGCCTGGAGGCCTGACGTCCAGGTGCAGGGTTTCAGCACCGCCAAGTTCCGGTGAAGGAGGGCACCTTCTCTCTGCGTCCTCACAAGGTGGAAAGAGCCAGGAGCCCACACTCACAATATAGGCACCTCCCAAAGGCCCCACCTGCTAAGTCATCCCATTGCACGTTAGGTTCCAAGCAAGAATTGGGTGGATAAAAATAGCCTATAGGGCAGCCATATTGGGAATAGTGTGACTGCCTACTGGAATTCAAGAGATTCACATAACTTAATCAATTATAATCATTCCTTTACACTTGCCTGGGGCCAGTCTTTCTTAAACCAAGGAGGTATCCTTACCTGGTGAGGGTTTAGAGACAATATTGAAGTCTCAGGCCCAGAGGAAAGCGAGCAAACAGTAAGACAAGGTGAGGTTCTTGCCTGATGTCACACCGTTAAGTTTCACTTCTTTCACTCAAGGTGTTGATAGTTCTTTACGAGCAAATATCTCTGGTATGAATACAACTAATATCTTCTCAAATATGTATATCTCAGTATGACTGAGTTAATTCACTGCTCCCCCCAGGAGTCCTGGAAAGAAAGGCATTGGAGTCTTCCGTTGCAGGCCAAAGGGTGAAGAAAGACGTGTTTGAGTGTATGTGTTTGTGTTGGCGAGTTGGCGGGTGTGGAGAGAGGAGTGAAGTGGGACCTGTGGAAGTGCACTGTCTCTCATTTTATACTAACTCACAGCTACATGCCCAGTGGCTGACACCTGGGGGCGCTCAAGAAATATTTCGGGGACGATTCAGATTCTACGTCCGGACACGCGGGCTGTGATTTGAGGTGGAAAAGTACTCAGACAGTGCCCACGTGCGAAGATAGCCGCTCCCCAGCGTGGAAGCAAGTTCTCGGGGGCCGGAAGGCCACAGCGCATCCCACAGTAGCCTGCAGAGCTCCGCTTTGAAGAAGGTAATTTACGCCGACGTGTGTGCCGAGCCCCCGGGAGGGCGCGATCTGCACAGACTGGGATCAGGGGTCCGTCTGCGGAAGAGCTGTAAGGCTGTGAGAACTGGGCCCTAGAACTGGTGCAAAGGCCCAAGTCGAAGTGTACACTGCGGGGGTGGGGCGCAGCGGAAAGGGGGCGTAATGGGGGGTAGGCTCTGAGCAGCACCTCCCACCCCATCTTTGAGCTACAGGAAGCCTGCCGGACACACTCGGCTGCTGGCGCGACTCGGGACGCTGCGTTGGAGCTCTGGCAGATCTGCAGGACTTGCTCTCCTCTCCTCGCGGCTGTAAGCGGGGCGGCCGGATCTCATAGACCTCTACAGACTTGACCCCGACCGCTCACCGGTACGCCCGGCATCTTTGCGGAGGGAGCACTATGGGCACTGTGCGCGCGGTGGAGCGGACCATTTTGCGGGCGGCCTACTTTGCAAAGGCGTGTTCTCTCTGGATCGGTGCACGCGACCAACTTTGCGAAACGCGCGACCCATTTTACATTGGGCCCCCGGGGTCTCCGGCCCGGAGACAGTGCGCGGGACAGTTGGTCGCAGCCAACTGCAGGGTGCTCTGTTCCGCGACGGTGCGCTTCTCCACTTCGGAGAGCGCATCGAGCCGGGGGCGGTACGAGTAGCCGGGCCGGGCCCCGCGAACTGTCCCGCGCGACTCCGCCCAATACCGTGCCGCAGCTTTTACTTTCGTTCTGTACAGGGGCCTCAGACGCTAGCTACGGAGGGACAGCGGCGGCCGGGAGCTCTGTCCACTGAAGAACGGTAACTTCGGCCCCCGCTTCGGCTTTCGTTTTTCCCGCTCAGCGGCGGCGCGCCTCCTCTGCCCCCAGCCCCGCTTCCGTCCTTCCGCTTATCCCGCGCGTTGTTCCTTCCGCCGCGAGCACTCTGCCAGTCTGCCAGGAGCCGGTCCCTTGCAGCTCGTCGGCCCGATCGCTTGCACTGAAACTTTGGGGAGAGGGCTCTCCGCGCCCCCAGCATCTCTTGCTTTGAGCTGCTTGACCTCCCTTCCCTCCCAGCCAGTGGACTTGAGTCATCAGTTACTATTGGAAAAGGAGAGGTGGGTTTAGAAGAGAAGGAGCGGATCTCTATCTCTCAGGGCTGACAGCGAGGACTCCCGTGCCAAACAGCCGTAGGTTCCAGTCCCCGCGTCCCTGCTTACCAACCGTGGGGCCTGGCTCACGGTTGCAGCCGGAATGGAGGGAGCTGATCATGGTGCCTAGCAGTGCCTCTGTCAGGGCTTATGCTGCCTGTGAGCTGAGGTCTTTATTGTTAGGGCAGCCTTGTGCTGGACCCTAGGAGATCCCTTGAGGAAGTAAAAAAAGTCAGGCCTCTCAGGCTACCAAGTGACCTTATAACCTTTGACCATTGTATTCAAGGTTGCCATTTATGGGGCAGTAAAATTACTGGTAGGTGATTGTGTGTCATTTCCAGGCCTTTCCCTTGAACTTCTGGACTGGCAGACATCTTGGCCCTAGCTTTTGTTTACTCACTGTCTGCTACCTCCGTAAGGATCTACCTACAGCCTGACCTTCATCCTCAATAGACAGGTGCTGCCCAGGTCCATGTCTGTCTTGTCTTAGCTGTGTGGCTTTGGGCAGGTGACAACTTCTCTGAAGAAACCTAAGTTTCTTGTGCAGTGAGGGTAAAGGCTCCAGTCACCTAGCAACGCGCTGAGAGCATCAGGTGCCAGTGCAGGGCTTGAGCGCCCAGCAGAGGCCCTCTTCTCCCAGCACCAGAGGAGAGAGGTGCAGGTCCTCAGGGCTGCTTCTCTTGGAGCCTTTAAGAAGATTGTCTTCATTGGGTCTAGAGTGGAGTGCAAGTTGTACTACATCACTTTTTTGAGGAAGTAGCTGCATTCCCTCCCCCCATTAAACAAGTTCAGACAGTAGCTGGGAAGCTACTTCCTACCAGATGTGTACCCAGTGGCCTGTGAAGCTTGTAGAGAAATAATGACTAAAGGGTTTTCATTTGCAGTCTCCATAAAAGCTGCTTAAAATATGAATATAATTTTCAAATACCAGTGAAGGTTGGCAGTTGAATGTTTTCTTAGTCTTGAGCGCAGCAGACAGTGGTGATAATAGGGAATATTTATTGAGCGTTTAGAATGGGCTACACAGTGCTTAGCATTTATATGCATTGTTCCTTTCAGCCTCATTTTACAGATGAGGAAACTGAGGCTTGGAGAGGTTGAATATTTTGTTCAAGGTTCTACGGCTAATGGGTGGAGTAGCCAATTTAACCTTTGATCTGCTGTTCACTGTGACTCAGCTCTCTATGGCCTCCCTGGGTCCCTTTGGTCCTGTTGTGTATCCTATATCAACAGTTTATTTAGGACACTGAATAATTTCAAAGTTTGAAGTACATTTCAAGTATAACATTTTTAAGGAAATATTTATTGAGTTCCTGCTGTGTACCTGGCACTTTTCTGTGACTAGAACAAAAATAATAATAATAATGATTAAGATAAGCTCTCAATCTGCAAATAGAGTCGTGGTGGATAATGGCAATCGTTAATACTCAATAATAACTAACCTTGAGTGCCTGGTACTTTTAATACTTTATGCACATTAAATATGAATTTATTTAAGAGAAGGTAGACGTATTTAACCATGGAGTATGCAGTATCCCGTGAATGGCTGACTGCTCTTTGAGCCTGCGCCCCACAAAGGGGACACATACAGGAAAGCAAGGCCAGATGTGGCCTCTCCAGGCACGAGAGAGCTGAGATGGGGCTGGGTTTTTTTGATGGGCTGAGGATACAGGGAAAAAAAGGGGTCAACACCAAGTCTTGGCTTGACTGAGATGATGTGGCCGAGGTCAGGCGCCCCGCTCGGTCCCTGCCCTCATTCTGGGGGAACTTGATTTCACTCAGAAGTCAAACCCAGCTTCACAGGCATGAGAGAGTCACTGAGTGTTTAGCTTTATAGACTTAAAAGAGTCCAGTCCCACCACGCTGGCTTGTTTTAGACATATACTCTGGCCGGTTGTTAGAAGGGATGTTTGCTGTTCCCGTTCCCTGCCGCCTACTCTCCCACCCCCACGCCAACAGTGTTTTGCATTAACCCAGAAATATGCTATAGGTTTCACACAGGCCCTTCAGGGAAAGCTCTGGAAAGCCTCCCACTGCTGAGCCATAGGAATTGGCCTGAACTTCACCCCTCCATAGCCGAGGCCGAAGGTCCCTCCCAGTGGCCACGGAGGAATATGAGCTACACCTCTCCTTTGATGGAGTAGGTTAGGCGTTTGCGAAGCGTGCAGTTTCTTCAGCCTTCATCAGCCCCGCCCCCCCCACTTCCCCTTCTCAGATCCCAGGTCAGACATTTCCTCCCCTGAGAACCTTCCTGAACGCCTCTGAGGCCCAGTGCCCTGGTCTTCACACACACCGCAACAGCAGCCTGACATTTATAGCACGCTTTTATGGGGAACAGCGTCTCCTCCCCAACAAGGCCGGACCAGGTCAGTTTGCTACAAAGTATAGTCACACGTCCTAGCAGGCAGCCTGGTGCAGTAGACATCGCGTAAACATTGATCTAATGACTCTTCTTAGCAGTCCCAACAATATTAAAGAGCCACTTTGCTGAGCCCCACCCCCGCCGTGTGTGTCTATATATATAGATAATGGTCACATCATTTTATCTTCATACTGCCTAGATTCAGCCTCTAAGATTAGTGATACCAAAAGGCTCAAGGCTTACACACCATGTGTTGAAGTTAGTGTCTTTTTCTGGTGGATCTTCTATAACTCAAACTTGCTAATTTTGAAAATATTTCAGTGCTTTGCTAAATACTAATCCACAATGAAAGGTAATTAAGTCAATATAAAGGAGATGAAATAAAAACTATTGAGCATTTCTGTGTGCCTGGATTTACCTTTATCTCTGGGGACGGGCTTATCTCTTTTTTTGAGAAACATTTTGAGTCCGAATCGGAAAAACCTAACTGCCTCCAAACTGGAAACACACTGGCGGTGATGGCGGGGCATTTGTGATGTGCTGAGAAACAGGAAGGCCACCGGATCTCCGATGGCCTCTGTACAGATTGGGTGTGGAACTGTCCCTCCCCCCCAGTCCTCTCCTCACGGCCCAGTACAGCCCTGAGGTGAGCTGGAAGGTGACATGACAGTGCTACTTGGAGCTCAAGGCCACTAGGTGGATGCTTTGGCGCCTTGGTCACCTCCCGGCTAAGCTGGACTCCTTCTCCCCCTCACCTTCCAAAATCCGTTACTTGTGCTCTGGGACATAATATCTTCTGTCAAATCAGTGCCTTCTTGTTTTCTGATCAAGTGAGGATGTGCCTGAGGGAGCCCAGTCAGAAGGCAGGCCTACACGTGTCCCCTTGGGTGTGCCCTGTGCGATGGCTCAGAGGTTGACACCAGTGGAAATTAGAGCCTGGAGAGTTGTCCCTTCATTTTTGAGAGGCGATCCCTTCACGGGAAAGGAAACAGATCTTGATGTAGGGGAAGTGACTCTAGAATAGGCTCTGCTTCTGACGAGCTGCATCACTTTTAGCTTTCTCTTCTAGCTTTTTGTTCAATCAATATTTATTTAATAATCACCTCTGTGTGCCAGGCACCTGCGCCACGATGAACTTACGTTGTCATGTTTGAGCTGAGCAATAAGCCAAGTGCAAATGAACAAGACAAATGCGAGGGCTGTGAAGGGAATGGGGATTGGGTGGGTGGGCGGTGTTGATGGAACAGGAGTAATCAAGGAGGACCTCTCTGCAGAGGTGCCATTTACACCGAATTCTGAAGATGGAGAATTAGCCGCCAGGGCAAAGATGGCATGTTCAGCAAATATGTGGGTGACAACTCCTAGAAACAGAACCAACCATGAGCCCAGACAGAACCTGACACAAGCCTGGTGTGGCCCAAGGACACTAGGGAACGGGGAGCTGATGGTGGGATGGTGAGGCAGGGCCCTGGGGTGCTTGTTGCTGGCCTCAGGTCTGAGTCCTACTATATTCGAGTTATGTGGCCTGGGACAAGTTATTAACTTTTTTCAGCCACAACTTCCTTATCTAACAGTGTTATTAGTCATAAGGATGATCTAACAGTATGAGTGGGAGTATTGAAAATATAATGTTGATAAAACAATAATGAATCTGAGTTTCTATTCCTATATTGTCATTTTTATGTCTTAAGAGTAGGGGGAGTATTAGGTGAGTAGGGGATCCTATGGGCTGATAGATTTCCCAGATCAGGGGTCAGCTTGCCTGTTTTGGAAAGGGCCAGCTAGTAAATCTTTTAGGCTTAATGGGCCTGTTATCTGTTGTCACAATTACTCAACTCTGATTGTGGTGGGAAAAGCAGCCACAGACAATTCATAAATGAAGGGGTGTGGCCATGTTCCAATAAAACTTTATTTGCAAAAATAGGTGGTGGGCCATAGTTCAAAGGGCCTTAAAATCCAAGCAGATGGGGTTAGATTTGAACTTTTAGATCATAGGGGTCTCTTGAAGATGACTGAGCATCAGATAGATTTGAGGAAATCTGTTTTTGGTAAAACCAGGCAAAGTCCTGTGAAATAAGAAGTGAGCTTTACACTGCAAGTTGTTCCTTTCCTGAACTGGGCCTGGGCAGTGCAGGCAAAGGATGAACACCTTATCACCTGTCAGGAATCGAGGGGAGTTGCTTGTTGTTACAAACCTTGATGGACCTTCCCCAGCTCCTCGTACACAGGGAACATTTAACAAAATTGTGGATGCTGGATTTTGCGGGGGCTTGGTTTGCTTCCCCGCTGTACGCCCCTCCCTGGAACAGTGCCTGAAACAGAGCTGGCATTCAAGCATCTGAATGAGTTGATGGGGCGGGGGCCCAGCCCTGGAGTCTCAGTGTTCAAGACTGCTCATCCCTAGGCTTAAGTGAAAACCATGTCACCTGATGAGTGCCATTTAAAGACATCACACTGGATTCCAATTTTCTCTTTTGTTTTTCTTCTCTCAGATGGCAGACGATCAAGATCAAGGCTCTGTGGAGAGGCAGGGAGCTGGGGATTCGGGAAACGGTGATGCCGTTGACGCCAAGCCAGACCGGTCCTCGTTTGCCTCGCTCCTCAGGTGAGTTTCCTTCCTGCCTGGGTTAAGCGGGGGCCCTGCCACTCGCCCTGACACGCCTCTGCCACCTCCAGCCACCCGTGGGGAGGGGGATATTCAGAAACGGGGGTTTAGGCTGTGCACGGGAGGTTGGCAAGGACCCTGCTGGCCCCGTGTGACAGTGCTAGCGTCCCCTGTGTATACGTCTGTGTTTCTGGGACAAGCCCAGGTGTGGGGGCAAACCAAGCCACGGGGGTCCCCTGTGCAGTGGCTGTGTGTCTGGGTGGCAGCTGCCCAGGAGTGAGGGGCTGTCCTGGCCAGAGGTGATCTGCAGCCACAGCCCTGGGAGCGGAGGCTGGGCTCCCTCCCACCCTGCGCCTTCCGAGGCAACTCCACTGAAGCGGGAGCATCCTGCCGCCTGAGTCCCCCTTTTTCCTTTATTGAGTTCACTTTTAAATTCTAAATCTTACAATTAACGATAGTAATAATCATGATCCCCGTCTTTATTAAACTCTTGTACGCCAGCTCAATAACGCCTGTAATGCTTACAACCCCAGGAGATGGTTCTGTTGTTATCACCATTTAACAAGTAGGGAAACCGAGGGGCTAAGAGGATTCATAGCTTGCCTTCTGATGACAGTTAATGAATGGTAGAGCTGGGATTAGAACCCTGTTGGTGCCAGTTCTGCTCACCCAACGGCTCTGCTGTGCTCTCCGTTTAGAAGTAGGGGGTCACAGAGGGGCAAGTGAGTGGGGCTTCCTGACAAGAGGCAGGAGCAGTCTGTGGGTCAGAAGCATCAGACTTCTTGATAACTCCCCTGCCAGGCCCCCTGGCGGGGGACAGCCAGGGGGGTTAAGGTTAAGGTCAGAGAGTACTCCCAGGCAGTGCTCAGGAGGGGAAGCCCAGAGAGAGCCTGGGGTCAACCATCCCAGAAAAAACTCAGAAGGAGGGAAGACCCCAGCATTCTGGACCCAAATTCCATTGGCATTGACTGCCATTGAGGGTCAAGAACGTCCAGTGAAATGACCAGGAAACACAGTTCCAACTTCTGAAAACTTTTCCAAGCCATTAGGTCAATTGGTCCAGGCTATACCATTCCCCACGGCAAGCCCCTTCAAGCAGGGGCCTTTCAATGTTTTTGCTCACAGACACCTCCAAATAATGTAAAACTACATACCCCCCTTACACACTTTCAAGGTAATGCATAAATTACATGACAAAGTAGTTGCAAAAAATGTAATACTATTTCAGTTTCCCAACTCTTTTGAGTATTTGGGTTAAGCAGGTTGCCTCTAAATGAAAGAGAAGCAGAAATTGTGTAATAATATTTCATAAGTCTTAGTAAAGTCGTTTGGTGTACTTCCTAGAAATTACAAAAAAAGGAATGGTGTATTGTCAGTATTAACATTTAAAAGTCATTCCTGTAAATGTATTCATTAGAATCTAATCCATACTATTACTTTCTTCTAGACTAAGTTACTTTTTCAGCTATTAATTAACAGTTGATCTGAACAAATAAATGTTGATAAATGATCAGTATTATGGTCAAGAGAAGAAATGTTGACAATAGAGAATTTCTATGTTTATTTGAGACAAACTGACGACATATGCCAAGGTGCAAGACCTCAGGTTCTCCAGAAAATAACAGTTTTACAGCTTCTTTTACACATTTGAAATTAAGGGAAACACATAGAGGTGGAGAAAGCAAGGCAAGGATTGGGTTACAGGATAGTTAACAGGATTATGCGTTCTCTTGGGGGTTAATGCCTGCTTCGGAGGGGTATTACTTCTGGCATTTCAAAGACGTGTTAACCCAGATGCACAAGAACACTGGAAGGGCTGGCTTAAAACCTCCCACTGAAGAAGCTATAGGCCTGGATACTTCTGGTCAAGATGGCACCATAGGTAAACGTAGTACTCACAATCTCCCACAAGCACGTCAAAATTACAATTAAACTACAGAACAGCCATCACCTGAAATCTAGCTGAACAGAAGTCCTATAACTAAGGATATGAAAAAGAAGCCACATTGAGATGTGTAGGAGGGACAGAGATGCGGAACAGGGCGGTCCCACACCTACAGGTGGCAGTTAAGAAGCAGGAGGGATATCGTGGCTGGAATGTGCCCTCTGAGGGGCGAGGGCTTCTAGGCCCGTGGAACACCAATGCAGGAAGAGGAGTCCTCACAACATCTGGCTGTGAAAATCAGTGGGGACTCCGTCTGGGTAAAACGGGGCGCTGCTGGCGTCCCAGGTGTCCCCTTAAAGGGCTGAGTACAGACTCACTCACTCTGAGCGCCAGAATAGGGACAGCAGCCCGGAAAGCACCCGGGAAAGCACCCAGGAAAGCACCAGGGACACGCAGGGAGGGACTGAGTTGTCTGGCTTCGGGATGAGAACTGGAGGGACAGCTATCTGGGGACAGCAGGCACCACCGTTCCTTTGTTGAGCCCTCCCTGACCTAGCCTGCCTGTCTGAGTCTCTGTTAACCAGGCTAACACTGCTCTCGCCCCATCCTGGTGATTCCTAGGGGTTCCGGGGAATTGCCTGAGGCCCAGTTTACTCACAGGCCAGAACCTTTCTCAGCAGCTTTTTTTCACAGCCAGCTGGCCTGAGCCAGTGCTGAGGACTTTCATAAAATCTCTGAAAAGTCCACAACCCTCAAATAAGCAGTGTCTGGCTTCAGCGTGCCCTGTACCTCTTGCCAGGTGACCCCAAACTTGACAGTAGTGGCAGCTGGCCTCAGTTGGCAGCAGAGCCTCTCTCAGGTGCCTACAAACCCAGTACAGGCAGCTAACAACCACTGATAACTTTGTAGCTCCTGCCAAGTGGTTCTGGGCTGGGCAAGGGCACCTCCCAAGAGGCCCCAGAACCAACACATCCAGTGGCTGGCTTCATACTACACCAGAGCACCACCCAATTAGCCCCACAAACAACATGTCCACAGGGTAGACTCAGCACGCACTAGAGCCATGCAAAAGTGACTCCCGCACCATGGGGTCCACCCCCACACAACAGTTGGCCAACCACTGTAGCCAAAGCCAGTTTTCACAGTCGGTCAGCCTGTGGGTTAGTCCTACCCATTGACAAACCACAAGCAATCAAGGCTTATCTACAACAGGAGGACGCATACAACCCACACAAGGACACCCTTGGAGCACTTGGCTCAGGTGGCCAGGGAGACTGTATCACTGGACCCCACAGGACACCTCTTATCTAAGGTCACTCTATCAAGATTGGGAGATGTAGCAGCTCTCCATAATGCATAGAAAAAAACACAGGGAAGCAGCCAAAATGAGACAAAGAAACACGTCCCATATGAAAAGACAGTCCAAAACTCCAGAAAAACGAAACAAATTGGAGACAAGCAGTCTACCAGGTGCAGAATTCAAAACAGTGGTTATAAGGATGCTCAATGAACTTAGGGAAAGAGTTGATGAACTCAGTGAGAACTTCAACAAGGAGATAGACAACATAAAAATGGAGATAGAAAACATAAAAAAGAACCAGTCAGAAGTGAAGGATATATTAGCAGGAATCAACAATAGATTAGATGAAGCAGAGGATCGAATCAATGATTTGGAAGACAAGGTAGTAGAAAATACCCAATCAGAAGAGCAAAAAGAGAAAAGAATAAAAAAAAAAATGAGGATAGTATAAGGGGCTTCTGGGACAACATGAAATGTACCAACATTTGCCTCATGGGGTCCCAGAAGGAGGAGAGAGAGAGCAAGGAATTGCAAACCTTTTTGAAGAAATAATGACAGAAAACTTCCATAATATGGTTGAAGAAATAGACATACAAATCCAGGATGCACAGAGTGTCTTAAACAAGATGAACCCGAAGAGGTCCATGCCAAGACACATCATAGGTAAACTAGCAAATGTTAAAGACAAAGAGAGAGCCTTAAAAGCCGCAAGAGAAAGACAGCTGCCTAAAAGGGAGCATCCATAAGACTGTCAGCTGAGTTCTCAGCAGATACTGTGCAGATCAGAAGGGACTGGCACAAAATATTTTAAAAAATGAAAAGCAAGGGTCTACAATGAAGATTATCCGGGAAAGCTATCATTTAGAAGTGAAAGACAAAGAACTTCCCAGACAATAGAAAAACTAAAGGAGTTCATCACCATCAAACCAGTATTACAAGAAATGTTAAAGGGCCTTCTTTAATAAGACAAAAATATGAATAATAAAATGGCAATAACTACATACCTATCAATAATTACCTTAAACGTAAATGGATTAAATGCTCCCATCAAAAGAGAGGGTAGCACAAGACTCACACAGACTGAAAATAAAATGATGTAAAAAGATATTTCATGCAATGAAAATGGAAAAAAATGAACTTATGAGGGGAGACCCCAAAAACCCCAGAATTTATTTATAAAAAAATTGTGTATTTATTCTTACATGTTTAAATTTCAGTCACCTCCCAAGTACTCTCTATTTGATGCAATAAACCTATCAAGACATTTTTTCTACTGCTCAAAACAGTTTTGGAACTTGTCAATTTTGATGCTTTTTAGTGTTCTGCTTCTTTTTTTTTTTTCACCTCTTCCACATCATGACAACTTTTCCTTTTGACAACCTTTTTCATCCAGGGAAACAAATAAACAAAAATGTCCCTTGGGGTGAACAGGGAGGGTAGGGCATAGGGCATGCTGTTTTTAATCAAAAACTGCTGAACGCTCAGCGCGGTGTGAGCAGGTGGTGCTGATAAATCACCCATGATGAAATGGGGAAACATGTTGAAAGGGTCTTCAAAAAAAATTCACTGGAGCTGAACACAGCCTCTCATAACAACGCCAGCTGGTACACCGATACAGATGGGTTCCTAAAACACTCACCTAGTGGAGGAAGCCTGTACTACAAGGGGCCTGCCCTCCAGAAGGTAATTCCTGTTTTCTTTGGGTCCCCCGGTATACCAGACAAAACAGACTTTAAAACAAAGACACAGCAATTCTTATTCCAGCTATTTATCCGAAGAAACCCAAAACACTAATTCAAAAAGACATATCCATTC